TATTTAGATAGGTAAAATGCCTACTACCGTTGGAGATGCTCTAACTGCACCACGCCTAAGAAGTTGGCTGAAGAAATTTCGAACTTGAGACCTGGGGTCTTATCCCCCAGCCTTTACCAAGTGCGCTAAATGCCTTGGGTTAACCCAAACTAATATGTTGAGGATGGTGACTATTATGTTCGGGGGGTCTATAAATGTGTACTTTTCTGACAAACTTTAATGCCCAAACTGAAAGTTTCCCACATAATTTTCCTACGAACTTTTCCATGAGCTTTCTTGCTTTTTCAGCACAATGGCTTCCATTGTGTCTTCTAATCCTCTTCAATTCTGTTTCTGCAATACCACACAATAATATTCCGAGGCTAAGTGTACTCGGCCAAAAATTCCTTAGAGACCCTTCTGTCACAGTTTCGGCGTCTGTTTGGAAGGACTTGAAAACCTATTTTTACAACCAAACACTTGATCACTTCAACTACAATCCTCAAAGTTATGCCAAATTCAAGCAAAGATATTTAATGAATTCTAAGTATTGGGGTGGTGCAAATGCAAGTGCTCCAATCTTTGTTTATCTTGGTGCAGAGGAACCAATAGATGGTGATATTGAAGTCGTTGGGTTTCTCCCCGAAAACGCCCCTCGTTTCAATGCTCTCATGGTTTACATAGAGGTACTTACATATAAATTGTGACATTCGTTGCTAAATACTCGAATTTTTTCAACAAAAAAATATTTTCGTCACAAAAAGCATATCTTGAAAAACTTTTGACATTTTTGAGTTTCTTCTAATAGTTTTGCCGTTGTTTTTCTAAGTAAATCCTTTCATTTTTTTTAAATACAAGCACAATTAGATAGTGTGGCTATTTTTACAAGAAAATCCTCTTCATCTCCCGCAGGTCAAAGGCAGCGCCCCTTGCACAGATCAACAAAGTGTCCTGTTATCCATTCCGAGTAAGAAACTATAACCTGAGAACTTATCTCGACCTCCCAAGACAAATTCCGCTTAAGTTAGGACTCGCACAGTAAGGGAGTATTGAACCCACACCAAATGCTGTGGTAAGTCAGTAACAGCAACTTGAGACATAATAATCTCCTAACTAACTGCACCACGCCTAAGAAGTTGGCTGAAGAAATTTCGAACTTGAGACCTGGGGTCTTAACCCCCCGCCTTTACCAAGTGCGCTAAATGCCTTGGGTTAACCCAAACTAATATGTTGAGGATGGTGACTATTATGTTTGGGGGGTCTATAAATGTGTACTTTTCTGACGAACTTTAATGCCCAAACTGAAAGTTTCCAACATAATTTTCCTAGGAACTTTTCCATGAGCTTTCTTGCTTTTTCAGCACAATGGCTTCCATTGTGTCTTCTAATCCTCTTCAATTCTGTTTCTGCAATACCACACAATAATATTCCGAGGCTAAGTGTACGCGGCCAAAAATTCCTTAGAGACCCTTCTGTCACAGTTTCGGCGTCTGTTTGGAAGGACTTGAAAACCTATTTTTACAACCAAACACTTGATCACTTCAACTACAATCCTCAAAGTTATGCCAAATTCAAGCAAAGATATTTAATGAATTCTAAGTATTGGGGTGGTGCAAATGCAAGTGCTCCAATCTTTGTTTATCTTGGTGCAGAGGAACCAATAGATGGTGATATTGAAGTCGTTGGGTTTCTCCCCGAAAACGCCCCTCGTTTCAATGCTCTCATGGTTTACATAGAGGTACTTACATATAAATTGTGACATTCGTTGCTAAATACTCGAATTTTTTCCACACAAAAATATTTTCGTCACAAAAAGCATATCTTGAAAAACTTTTGACATTTTTGAGTTTCTTCTAATAGTTTTGCCGTTGTTTTTCTAAGTAAATCCTTTCATTTTTTTTAAATACAAGCACAATTAGATAGTGTGGCTATCGATATACTATCCCACTTAATTATTTATTTTTATTTGATTGATGAGTTTTAAAAATAAAACGATTCAAATAATCTCAATAAACTCGAAGTGAGCCCCACCCAAATACCCCGAGTCTTAAAAAATGTGGATATGTGAACCATTTTGCATGAATGAAGATTTTTCCTTAAATGCTAACTGTATTGAAATGTCAGGATTAAAGCTCCAATATTGTACGGGTTATCAAAATTTTACAGTTATTTTTATTTTTATTTTTTTTTTTTCAGCACCGGTTCTATGGAAAGTCAATTCCATTTGAAACAATGGAAGAAGCCATGACCGCTCGAGGTTATTTCAACTCGGCTCAAGCTATAGCAGATTATGCAGAGGTGATCTTGTACTTGAAGAAAAAATTATCTGCACACAACTCTCCAATTATCGTTATTGGAGGATCATATGGAGGAAGTAAGTTTCTATATTGTTTACAGCCATTGTTGAATACTTATATGTTGGAAGAACGATTCCTCCGGTCTAAATATGGATTGTACAGTAACTAATAACCAGTCTTATTTTGATGATTTGATTATTTCATTTTGTGGGCCTCTTGTGTTTATCATTTATAGAAAAAAAAAAAATTCAAATTAATTAGATAATCGAAACTACATGATTCATCATACTTGTCTTTAAAGCAATGGATGACCAATATAATTTTCAAACTAAAATATACACTGCTTAACAGCAAATGTGATGTAATATGATTTACCACTATCGGATCAATTTGTTTTCTTTTCTTTTTTTTCATGACCGATAAACACATTTTAGTTTCAAAATAAAGAAATCAGATTATCAAAGTGGGCCCGTGGTAAGCTCCATGAACCTCAACACACTGTCTGATCCACATTATGGATTGGAGTGAAACCCAATCCATTTATTTTTAAAATTGATAATGTAGCTTGTTTAATTTTTGTGTTTAATTAAAACTTACAGTGCTTGCTGCATGGTTTCGGCTGAAGTATCCTCACATTGCTCTGGGAGCTCTGGCTTCATCCGCTCCTATCCTTTACTTTGATGACATCACTCCCCAAGATGGATACTATTCAATTGTCACCAAGGATTTCAAAGTAAAAAAAAAAAAATCTTCAGTAATTTTAGTTTTTCAGAGTGTTTTTCACCAAACTAATTTTTTGGAGAAAACAATTCCTTTTTTTTTTTTTTTTTTTGCAGGAAGCATAGTGAGACTTGTGAAACAATAAAGCAATCATGGTCTGTAATTGATGAAGTGGCTTCCCAGAAATGGCCTCGTCAATCCTCAGTCAAAGATTCATGACATGCTCGTTAGAACTGGACATAATTCACACTTACTTTTTGTTTTGTTTTTGTCATTTTTTTTTTAAATTCCAAAACAATTACCAAAACAAAGTTGTTTGGAATGACTAAATAAGTGCACTTTTTGCTTTTTTAGCGAAAAGAATATGCAGAAAAATAGGAGAAGTGATGTGATGAAAAGGAAAATAAAAGATTTATTATTTATAGTATGTCCAAACCACCCCTAACTATTTTCTTATCCACAATTATTTCCAGGTTAAAGTCGTGTTTTCAAAATTATAATATTAATTTGTTGTAAAATAAACTTAAACTAGTGATTCGTGGTTGACGTTGTGTTTTATTGTGTAAAGTTTTAAAACTCATGTTCTTAAATATCATGATTTCCAACAACAACACTAAAAAAACTCACTTAGACCAAGGAGGTTTAATTGGTTCAAATTCCCTTTAAGGGTTGAATTAAGGATGTGTGCTTTGGCCAAGAGTGGAGAGGATTTTCTTCTCATACAGTGCTGAATCTAACAACTAAATTTGCCAATAAAAAAAAAAAATCACTTGAAACCAGGAACAAAAATTATTTAAAATTGCTGCGAACGGGCTCAGAATTCTATTTCTTACAACAAATGGCAATTGGCGAAATATATGTCATATATTGGTTGTGGCCGCTATAGCCTTGATTGGTTTAAACAATAAGATCATAATATGTTGTTAAGCCCGTTCAAAAAAAAAAAAAAAAGAAAAAAAAAAAGAAAAGAAAAATGTTGTTAGAATTTTGACCAGATGTGCATGAGTTGTCCTTTTTAATTGCCATGGGACAAGCTGCAACTTTGACGATAATCCACAACTCATGAATCTACCAAGCATAAAATACATAATTCATTTAAATTTTCGTTGAACAATTTTATGAAGATTTTAGCTGAGTATATTTTTTCTATAAGTACACGACATTTTGTGGTAGCTGTTTGGTTGTGAATTAGATCGGAATTCTGTTTTTGGAAATTTTTTGCTTTTTGAATTTTTTTTTTTTTTGGTTTTTTAGTGAATATATTTTAAATATTTTAATTAATAATTTTATTTAAATTTTTTAATTCACTTAATTTAGATGACTTAAAAACATATTTGTCAAGAAATCCCTTTAAAAAAATAAAATTTTCCCAAAATTCCAAAAATGTTAATGAATTAATTTTTATTTTATATTAGTGAATTTTTAATATATTTTTATAAATTTTTAAATAGGCAACAACTTACTTTACTCCTTGTGGTTTGGCATGTGAAAATATCTCCCTAATATTCGAAAATCACCACATAATCCTCATGTGGGTACTGGATTGAAATGCACACTAACTTTTTGTTTTAACAAAAAGTTGGTAAATTAACAATTATACTCTCAAACTTCATCTCTCTCTCTCTGCTCTCTCTCATCTTCCTTCAGTAGTTCACTACCAAACTTTACATATATATATATATATTATAATATATATACAATTACATATATATATATAATAATACAATCTCATTTGGTTGTCAAATTGATTAGCAATCATATATATATATATATATATATATATGCTATAGCAGATACAAAACCAAAAAAATTCTTTCTTTTTTTTTTAAACATAACATAGATATATATTATTATATATATATGTATGGATAAACATGACCAATATATATACATTACATACATACATACGATCAAAATGACTTGAATAATAACATATGTGTGTGTATCTATATGATTCTAGATGATTTGATGATGATGTTTTATGAATTAAAAATTCGAAATTGGTGTTTTCACTATGTTTGTAATACCAATGATATTCTATGTACATATGATCCAAATACTCATTTATATTATTACTTGATTTGAATGATTACTTAAAAAAAATATTAAGAGGAAGTAGAGAGAAGGATTGTTGATCCAAATAAATGAAATTAAACTCAGATATATAATTTAGTAAAATCTATGCATATAAATAATATATATGTTGTGTGGTGCGCGTGTCAATCTTACCACAAGAATCAATTTGATGAATTTTAGTATAGTATGAATATATATATATACTTATATCTCTTCTGATGTGGTGAAAATAAATTAATGTATACCAACATTTCATTAAAACATAAAAATAGAGAGAGAGAAAAAAAAAAAGATGTTGAATTCTAGTCACAAATTGATAATATTTAATATTATATTCATTGATATATGTAGGTATTGATAAATAATAATTATATTGAAGAGTAATATATTCCAGATAAATAAATATCCTATTACCATTATATATTACATATAAGTGAAAATGGTAAATAATATTTGTTATAACTAGTGCTAAATGGTTTGAAAAATAGAAATAGGACAAGAATGGCATTCTTTGTAAATTTGAAGAGGTATAAAGGCGTATTTTCGTCCATAAAAATTGACTCTCAGTCTCTCTATAAAGCGGTCGGTGTCTTTCACATTCTGATATCTTAGACAGAAACTGTAGCAGGATAAGCGTTTTAATCCAAATCGACTCATGGGGGTATGTGTAGAATTCCGAATGTCTGGAGAGTAAATCTTCACACTCAACCGCAAACCCAATGGGGTAAAGGATGAAGTTTGGCCTATTTTAGGATTTTGGGTAAAATCTTAGGAAATATTACTTCTCGAGGTTTGTTTAAAATACAAAATTGGCCACATCTGTGATTTGAAAAGATTGACAGAGAGCGCGTCCCTGATATTTGTTTAGTTTAAACAAATCAATTGAAATATTGAAATTTATAGACTAATTCACTTAATTACATATAATACAGATTATCTTGAATTGTTAATTGAAATAAAATTTTTAACATTATTAAATGAAGGAATCGCACGTTTAATTACCTTGATTGATTGTGATTATAAATAAGACCTATTTGTTATGAGAAATAGAAAACCTTAAAGGGAGGCATAAATGTAAATTTCTTAAAGTCGGCCGGGGGGTAATTTGTAGATTTAAGTTAATCTCGAAGAAGTGTGTTTGTAAATTTCGGATGGCCTTTAGTTTTTATGTAATATATTAGGGAACATGATTAGAGGTGAATTTTGAAAAAGTTAGAAAAAAAAAATATTAAAAAGTTAATTAGAAAAAAAAAATTTAAAAATTATTTTTGAAAACTCAAAAAAAAAAACAGATGTTTGTTTTTTTATTTTTATTACTCTTATCATCTATATCTATAACTATTTTTTTTTAAGGAAAGTTGAATAACACGATTGGGCTGAAGAACTACTTGGAGTATTAATATATTGCAAGCCAGCTCAGTATAAACAGCCCCACCGGAATAATCCAGTGACAGTGGTCTGCGGCGATCGAACGGAGCATCTGCAAG